GTGCCCGGCTAATCTTTTCTTTTTTTAGTTGTTTGGTTAATTTCTTTCTATTTATAGTAGAGATGGGGTCTCGCTCTTGCTCAGGCTGGTCCCGAACTCCTGAGCTCAAGCAATCCTCCCACCTCGGCCTCCCAGAGTGCTAGGATTACAGGTGTGAGCCACTGCGCCTGGCCGGGATTATTCCTAATAGAAAACAATCTAAATTATTCTAATTTGGTCAGGATTCCTGCTGCCATAGAAATTTGGTGTATCTCCTATGTAGGCTCTTCACAATCCCCTCAAATACACAGAATTCGCTATTATTGGGTCAATTTCACATCAATGAACTTGGTCCTGCTCCTTCTTCTGCTGGGGAAAAAGAACGCTTTGCCTTGGATGGATATAAAACATCAGCCCAAACTTGCCTGTTCTCAAATCTTCCCTGAGAGCCCGTCAGAAGCTAACAATCTTTCTTGCTTTCACAGGCCTTCTCTTCCAGCTCCAATTCCAGGAGCCAGATAAAGTGCTAGATCTGAAAGTGTCTTCTGTCTTCAGACAGTTTTAGTAAACATATTTCTCCTTAACAGCCTTTACCACCTAAGCACCTGGAGATTCAGTATCATATTTCGGGGAGGTTAAAGAAAAGAAGGTTCAAATACTCAACCTCTAATTTTCACTTACTCTCAGGGAAAATCTTTGCTTGGAATCCTTTGCCAAAGACAAGATTCTCCAGATTATTGAAGGCCTGTGTTGAGGAAATTAAGGAACAGGGCATGCAACGGAGAAATTGTGTGGGGGAAGGGGGAGAGCATAAGCCTACGTGGCCCTCCTCTTCCCACCGCAGGAAGGATACAGTGAGAGAGAAGACGAAGAGGCCAGAGCCAAGCAGGCCCCCCTGGATGGTGAGCCACTCGGTGGAGGCCAGCTGGCGGCTGTACATCTGCATCCCAGCGAAGAGCAGCAGGGACAGGAGAGAAGAGAGCGCCAGCGACGTGCCTGTACCCACCACTGGAGGAAAGGAGAGAAGGGACAGAGTCAGGATCGGCCCTCCCTCCAGGAGCCCACAGGCAGATGCGGCCGGTCCCGGAGCTGGGTGGGCCGACCACTTCCAACCACTCCCGGGACTGCAGCCACACTCCCGAACTCCCCACACCCCGCGGCGACCCCCAGGTATCCCCTAGCCCCGGACGCCCCGAACCCTCCCGTCCGGTGGGAATGCCCGCTTCCTGGAACCCAGGACACGTCAGCTCTGCCGGGAGAGGACCAGGGAAGTTTGCCTGCCCCAACTCCAGCCCCCGCTAGCTTGTCCCGGGGATCCCACCGGTCCCGTTACCCATCATGCCCCGGCGGTGAGTTCAATAAGCGCCTCTGGCCAAGAAAGGGGAGCCGAACCGGGCGCAATTAACTGTGCGCATGCGTCGGCGCCTAACGCGGCCTCGCTTAACCCCCATGTCTTCTTTCTCTCGGCGCCTGGACGCAGCGCCCTCTTCCGGTAGGGAGGAAATAATGCGTCGAAGAACATCCTCAGCCACCGCCCTGGTTCCCAGGCTTTCCCCGTATCCGGTACATCTGCTGCCACTCTGTACAAGCAGCACTTATGTCTTCAAGTCGTTGGGCCCATGGCCTATAGCCTATAGCCGACGTCTGCCTTCTTTTCCATTTATGTCAACTCGAAGGCATGTGCCTCAAACCTCCTTGCCCCATGATCATTGGCTCAACATCTCCCGTGGACTCTTGCCCAACCCAAAATGTAGTGCTCCCACCCACAGCCCATCTTCCTCTGAAACTAACCTCTCGCTTTATTTGAGAAAGATTAGGAGCCAGTGAAAAATAAGAATATAAGAAATGCTTCCATCCTCAAATACCCTTCCATGTTACCCAACCCCCCCACCGCCCTTCGAGAACCACGTGGGGAGAACTATTTCCCACCCCCTACCCCGACGGGCGCTGTTCGAGGCTGGTCCCTGGAGCATGCGCAGTGACTCCTCACCCCCACCCCTCCCCACACCCCCACTGGGCTCCTGCATTAAGCCCGGGGTTCGCAGCCGCAGCCAGGATCGGGCACCCGGGGGCGGGCGGGCACGGTAGGGCCATGGCCGAGGGTGAGGATATGCAGACCTTCACTTCCATCATGGATGCACTAGTCCGCATCAGTGTGAGTTAAGGTGGGGTCGAGGGGAAGGGGAGGGGGTGTATAGGGGTCCGGGGCAAGCTGGGACCTTGAACAGGTGGGGATCTAGGAGGATGCTGGGATGTAGACAGGGGGCTAATGATGGCAGAAACGACTGGGAGGGTCCGGATGCAGGTATGAGGGGGTAATCCCAGGTAGAGCCCGGAGGTGAGTGTCCTGAAGGCGTCGGTCTCCTGGGGTGTGAGGAGCTAGGAGCAGCCCAGACGCAGCGGGTGGGCTGTGGTAGCTGCCAGCAGTGCACCAGGGCTGGGGCTTCAGAGGAAAGGCGCTATGTTTCGTATGAGGAGGGGTATCTGTGAGCTTGGATATTTTCCAAGAAAACTGAGGACAGGTGGAGGGTGATGAAGGAGACTTCCCAGGCTGCAGGTCCCAATTTGGACCCCTCCCCGAGACCCCACCCCATCGCACCCCCACTCAAGGCTGCCTCCGAGCCTGCGGTTGTCATGGCAACCCGTGCCCGGCTCTCCCAGGGGCGGTGCCAACCCTGCTCCCCCCCACCACTTCCTTCCCCCTCCCTCCCTGTCCCTCCCTCCTTTGTGTCAGCTGCGCCCCTGACCGGGATGGCTGCGAAGAGAGGGACCAAGGTGAGGTGTGGGGGTGGGGCATAGCCTAAGGACCCCCGCCACCAAAAGGGGGAGGGGTACTTCCGGTGGGGAGGGGGCGAGTAGGCGGGGCGCTTGTCCCCCCCTAGCTTGGGGAGGGGGTTGCCGCTGGCCGGGTTGCGCTGGGGGAGAGGGTGGGAGGGCTGGATGGTGGGGGGCGAAGGGGCATGGTTTGGTATCGAGGGACTGGAGGAGATGGATGGGGAAGTGAAGGATGGGGAATGGAGGCTGGGGCGGCCGCAGGCCGGAGCCGCGGTAGGAAGACGAATGGGGCTAGCAGGAGGATGGAGAGCCAGCAGCGCCTGGCTATAGGGAGGAGTCAGACGCGGGGTGGGGGAGTGCTAGAGAAGGGGGCTGGGGTCCGCACGAAGCTGCAGAATGGGCGGTGTCCTTGAGAAAAATGCGAGGGGCAGAAGGCCCAGAGATGGGGGGATGGAGGCAGGTGAGGGGAGCTGCCAGGTGGGGCTGCTGCTGTCGGAGTGATGGGGGTGGGGCTTGAGGCTGGGGGATGCACCAGCTCCAAGCATTCCTCCTCTGGGCCTTTAGCTCTGCAGGAGGGAAAGAGTGGCAAGGGTCTGAGGGCTGGGAAGGTCTGTGAACCAGATCAAGGCAGGTGCTGGGGAAAAGCCCTAGGTAGCTTGTCTTGCCCCTTCCTAAGACCCCCTAAGGGCAGCCAAGGGGCCTGCTTAGATATACTTAGGTGTCCAAGCTCTTATCTAGCCTCCTGGTCTCTCCACAGACGAGCATGAAGAACATGGAGAAGGAACTGCTATGCCCAGTGTGTCAAGAGATGTACAAGCAGCCATTGGTGCTGCCCTGTACCCACAACGTGTGCCAGGCCTGTGCCCGGGAGGTGTTGGGCCAGCAGGGCTACATAGGCCATGGTGGGGACCCTAGCTCCGAACCCACCTCTCCTGCATCCACCCCTTCCACCCGCAGCCCCCGCCTCTCCCGCAGAACTCTCCCCAAGCCAGACCGCTTGGACCGACTGCTTAAATCAGGTGGGGCTGGGGCCTGTGGGGTGGGGGTGGGAATGCTGGGCTGTTCATCAGGAAGATGGAAGGGGTCCTTCACTGGTCAGGGGCATCTGTCTGCCTTTCTGGGGGTGGAGATACTGCTCATCCAGACTCTAGTGACAGCTGAGCTCTGGCACAATAAAAATCTAATTTTAATTGAACAGACTTCCTCCACCCCCAGCCAGCTATAACTCTCACCTCATCTACCTCCCTGGTTCATCCACAGGCTTTGGGACGTACCCTGGGCGGAAGCGAGGTGCTTTGCACCCCCAGGTGATCATGTTCCCGTGCCCAGCCTGCCAGGGTGATGTAGAGCTGGGGGAACGGGGCCTGGCGGGGCTTTTCCGGAACCTGACCCTGGAGCGTGTGGTGGAGCGGTACCGCCAGAGTGTGAGTGTGGGAGGCGCCATCCTGTGCCAGTTGTGCAAGCCCCCACCACTAGAGGCCACCAAGGGCTGCACAGAGTGCCGCGCCACCTTCTGCAATGAGTGCTTCAAGCTCTTCCACCCCTGGGGCACCCAGAAGGCCCAGCATGAGCCCACCCTGCCCACCCTCTCTTTCCGCCCCAAGGTGAGCTGGCCCTTACAGAGGGAGGGACATGGCGGTACTGGGCGAGTGGGGGTGCCTGGCATTATGGGCTTCCCAAAGGAGGTGGGCAGGAGATTGCCACTGCCAAGCACCTTTCTCTGTAACAAAGTCACCCCAAATCATTCATCTTTGGGCCTTCATCTCATTCACTGCATGGGGATGGTAGTATCTGCCCTGCAGTATATATATACTGGCAGGGTTGTTGAGAGAATCACATGAAATAGTGTTTGTTTACTAAAAAGTATTATCTGTACACTAAAAATGTCTGTACACGTTCTTTCATTGAACAAATATTTATCAAGCACCTACGTGCATAGTGCCATTCTAGGTGTTGGGGATACAGCAGTGAACAACACGGACAAAGTGAATTATTAACCACAAGGCTAAGATTAATTATCACCATTATTATTGGTATTACCACACATCCCGGTGAGGTAGATGAAGGGAAGAGCAACGCTGGTGGGCATTGCCGAGACGGCAGGAAAGGCTCTCCTTGATGCCAGCGTGTACCACCAGGTGGCACTGTGGAGCACCGCCGGCTGATCGCTCCTCCACTCCCATCTGGCCAGTGGAGGGAGGGCACCACATTGCTCTCCTGGTAGATAGCGTCCTTACACGTACCATCGGCTGACCACCTCATTGCTCTTTGTGTCCCTAGGGCCTTATGTGCCCAGACCATAAGGAAGAGGTGACCCACTACTGCAAGACATGCCAACGGCTGGTATGCCAACTCTGCCGGGTGCGGCGCACCCACAGTGGGCACAAGATCACACCAGTGCTCAGCGCCTACCAGGCCCTCAAGGTGAGGACCCCTCCTCATTCAACCCCCGTGCTAACTCACACTCTCACCCTCTTGCACCTCCTCCTAACTGCTGGCTTCTGCAGAGCCAGGCATGATGCCCACCTCTTTCTTCCCCCTCAGGACAAGCTGACAAAGAGCCTGACATACATCCTGGGAAACCAGGACACGGTACAGACCCAGATCTGTGAGCTGGAGGAGACTGTGAGGCACACCGAGGTGAGGGAGGGCATGGAGGTGGGCCCTGGGCCCTGCCTGGGGGCGGGGGCAGGAAGGGGGTGTGGGTGAGCATGGCCCAATCACTTCAATGCAACCTCAGGAAGCCTGGGAGGTGAGGTGTGTCCAGGTTCTGGTTAAACCAGGTTGGCAAGAACCCCAGTCCCCCAGGCCAGGCTGTGCTTGGGGCTGCAGCAGGGGCAGAGAACTCAAAGGCCCACAGATGTCGCTCAGATGCTCTCAGGCTCAGTTGCCTACTGAGGATGGCACACATCCCTGGAGCTAGCATGAGATGATGGCTCTGATAGCTTCTGCCAGATTGCTTGAGTCGGCTGGCATGGGGATGGACAAATAAGGATGGCATAGATGCCAGGAGACATTAGTGCAGTCCAAGTGGACATTAAGGCAGCCATGGCTTCTTTCGTTTGGGTGAGTCCTTAAGGGCTTGAGATTATGATGCGGGCATCCAGGAAGGTTAGAAAAATGGTCAGTAGCAGAGCCCATCTTGGGGCATAGGTGCCTTTGCAGCCATGAGCCTGGCCCTATTGGAATAGGTGAGTAGGATTTCCCCAGATCCCTTGTGATCCTAGCCACGCTGTGGTGTCCCAGGAGGCTGGCACAAGTGCTGCCTCCAAGAGGAAGACAGAAGGTCACACGTTCTTTGGGTGTTGTTCCCTGGGCAGGTGAGTGGTCAGCAGGCCAAGGAGGAGGTGTCACAGCTGGTGCGGGGGCTGGGGGCTGTGCTGGAGGAGAAGCGGGCATCACTGCTTCAGGCCATTGAAGAATGCCAGCAGGAGCGGCTGGCCCGTCTCAGCGCCCAGATCCAGGAGCACCGGAGCCTGCTGGATGGCTCAGGTCTGGTGGGCTATGCCCAGGAAGTACTTAAGGAAACAGACCAACCTTGCTTTGTGCAAGCAGCCAAGCAGCTGCACAACAGGTACTCAGGGGCATGGCACAGGGGCACGGGCTCCTGGGGGGCAGGGACATCGTGGGTGTAGTCAACATCTAAGACAGTGTCTAGAGCACTGCCAGGT